GAAACTGGCATTCTAATTAACCCTAATTATTAAATAAACTCAAACCAGCTCTCAAAATTCAATTTAATAACAGTTTTACACAATAGAGAAATCGATGAACTAGATAATACAAACACCAGCGGTTGGATACAATCTATTTAATAATTCTTCTTAAAATTCAATAATCTCCATCGCAGAAAATCATGAAATCCTAGTGCTTCACAAGTTAAAAGGATCAAACAATTATGGATTTGATATTTAACTTAGCGGTAGATTGTATCGAATAACAAACTAGCAGGTCTCCTAGCAATTAAACATAACAATCATGAAAATAAGTGCAGAAGAATATTCAATACGCAAAATAAGAATTAAACAATAAGAAAAACTATTTAGATCTCACAATATGTGGTTCCGAGGCTTCAATTTCCTTCGACCAAGTGTAAAAGTTTAGTTACAATTCATGAATCTAAGAGAAANACTTAGCGGTAGATTGTAATGAATAACATACTAGTAGGTCTTCTAGCAATTAAAAATAACAATCATGATAAAAAGTGCAGAAGAATATTCAATACGCAAAATAAGAATTAAACAATAAGAAAAACTATTTAGATTTCACAATATGTGGTTCCGATACTTCAATTTCCTTCGACCAAGTATAAATATTTAATTACAATTCATGAATCTAAAAGAGAAATAATGAAGAATGGAGTTTGGAGGCTTTCTGTAGGTTCTCCCCTCATTCTAGGGTTTTAAAATATGTATTTATAGTTGTTTCCATAGGTAGTTGACTTAAATTTGAAAACTGGAGATTCGTCTGTAAAAGATGTCTGTGTGCGCGCGCCGTATATTTTCTTGCCCACGCACCGTTCATTTGTTTTAGGCTTGGTAAGTAAAATTCATGCCCGTGCGTGCACGAGAGAATTTGCCTCATCGTGCGCGCAGGTTTGTCTCTAAACAACGTTCAGTATTTTGGTCATCACGTTCTCCACATGTATCCGATTGAGTTGATTCAAAATGTGTTGGAAAGCTAACTCAAAGGGCTACAACTTCGCTTCAGATACCATCTTCCAATTCGATCTTTTGCCATGTCAAAAATGGGTCTCAAACTAAGACTGAAAATCCGATACATAACTTTTCGATTGGAAATTGATGTGTGATCCTACTTTGAAGATATTTCACCCATTTGACTTCTTTCTTCATCCAATTGACATATAACACTCTTAAATCTTAATTGTGAGGTTCAACATGACTTTAGTGTATTTTCACGTTAGTCCTTGAACTTTCATTTCCTTTCACTTTAGTTTTTTTTCACCTGTTTCTTTCAGATTATGCCATCTGGTGTGCTGTCGTAGGCACTCAAAAATAGTCCTTAAACCTCTAAAACTAATGTAGCAATGGAAGTAAGGGTCGATCCCACGAAAAGTGTGTACTTCAACAATTTATGCTTCGTACAACGATTGGGGGGTTTTGTTTATAACGAAATCAATCTTATAATAAATAACAATATAAATTAACGAGTT